TTCTGACAGTTTCTGTGATTTGTTTTTGAGGGGATTTGTCGGTCCTAAATCTACAACAGACAATGGGATGCCTGTCCCGCATGATTTTTATTGTCCATCAATAAACAAAGAAATCATTGGTGAGTGCATTATTTTATTGCTTTATAATTCTTTTACTGTATAAATATAATTTAATATACTATGTAAATATAAGGAAGAACCGGTCAACTTTGTGGCTTATACTGCGCGTCGAAAAAACAGAAATGTTTACACGTCAAAGAAGTTAATTGCCAGATGATCAAGGGAAAAAAAAGTGTAAAGAGAGTGTTGACAGAAAGAGAAGGTGAATTTTTATGTGAACTTGATATGCTAGACCCAAAACTTGAGTGGTTTGATGAAGAAGACATTAAAGGAGAGAATGTAACTAGTAATTTAACAGAAAATAATCAAGAGACTGACTACACACTACCTGTTATAGAAAATCGGCATGATTGGCTAGTTTCACCATTTAATGTTATGGACACATTAGGAGAATAAAGATTTTCTAAGATTATTTCTGTGGTTTCATTGTAGTTAAAGGAAATTTTATTTGGTTTTTGAAAAAAATTTAAGCAACGTAGCTGTTTCATGGGAAGGGGAGGAGGCAAAAATCTACGCATGGGGGCAGGGGGAGGGGGTTAAAAATGTCCAAAAATGAGGCTGCGTGATTTATGGACAGCCCCATGTGGTAAGGATATTACCCGAATTACGACAGTATCAAACATATACTAAAATGTATGAGTTATCATAAATATCCTACTACCACGAGTCAGAATCATGTCAGTGTCTGGTAAGTGTTTTCGCCTACCAAGTATTTCTTCCAAGAATGCAAAATAGCGCATGCGGAAAAACATTATTGTGCTTCATAAGTCTGTGTATATATTCTTGCTTTGTTGATACTCTTTTGTAGGTTAGAACATTATGTATAGACTTTTTAGTACATCGGATTGTATTTATGATATGCACTTATTACGATATCTTATAATTAAAATTTAGTAAATAAAAAAAAAGATTTACGTTTGCTCATAACCAACAACCCCTCACGCAGAGAAAGAAAGGAATAACGTACGATGATCTACTGTCAAATTGTACATATATATACTATGTGTAGTAAGAGGCGACTTTAACGTACTGCTCACTCTACGCATGACACTGATTTTTGAGGCTATCGTTGGTAGGCGAGAAACACCTACCTCAGCCACTAAATACGCATACTGTTGTCATGAGACAAACATACTTAGCATGAATTTTTTCGTGACTAATGTGAGGCTAGAAATTTCAATTACTAGACTGGCGTAAAAACTAACTGATCTGACAGTAATATAATCTAATAAGTTAATTACTTGATGTTTAAAATCGTGGTAGAGGATTTTCAACGAAAAAGGTCTTTCAGTGTGGGAGATCTACTTTTCAGCTGTCATGTATAATCTGCTCTAACTCTGATTCGCATGTATAGCTGTTGGCCATTGTAGTCTTACAAGCTCTCTTACGCCCTTTCTTTCACTAAATTTTCGTGATTTTAATTTTAAACTTGTGAGGTTCATGATTTTTTGCCTGTGGAAAAGAGTCGAGTAAAAAATTTTTAATAACAAAAATGAGCAGAACTACGATCCAAAAATGGAGACAAACACATATAGAACAGAAATTTACCTTTCAGATTAACACTTGTAAAATGAATTTGCTAAAATAACTTTGGCTTTAATTTTATTTTTCGTGACAATTGTAATTTTCATCTTGTATTTTTGTCATTTCCGCGGAAAATTTTACTTATCATGAAATTTTTGAGAATAACTTTTTTTAACCATTGAATCTGTAAAAATAAATAAAACTATTGTATTTGGGAGGTAAAAATACATCAAAATATGTATTTGGACCATCGAAATATTTTGTTTGACAGCTCCTACGTCAAAAGATAAATATTTTGGATTTTTACCGTGTCATACCCAAAAGAACTTCCAGTGCTTTGTGACACGTAAAGAAACGGTTGAATCGGATTCAACCAAGTTTTTTCATGACTTGTTAGGTGTAATAACGGCATTTATGCTATTAAGCAACTAAATAAAGAAATTTAAAAAATTTAACGTCCACACTAGTGCTTATAGATAGTACCTAACGACAGCCCTCAAATGTGATTGGAAAAACCTATTGACAGTTTTCTGATGCTTTGAATTAGTATTGTTAATAGTATAACTGCTTTTGCTACATTTTTAAAAAATTATATAACTTTCGTATCGACCTGCAGAATCTAAATATTTTTATAAGTTGAAATTACCCCGTTAAGCAAATGAATTTTCTCTTTTTATTAACAAACTAATAAAGTATTTTAAATAACTCTCATGTTTCGAAAAGTAAATTATCTGATTAATAAATAAAAATGAATTACTCAAGGATCGAAATGCTATTTGAACTTTTTGGTAACGAAATTGTTATGTAGTTACAAACCTCATATAGAAATTTAAAACAATCAAAAAATTTTTAAAAATCTGTTTTTTAGATCGTTTCTTAATTTTATTTAATGATGAAAATGTTAGCATCTTTTAATTTGCATTAGATAGACGTTGATGATTGGACGCTTTTTTCCGGTAGCACACAGATATTTGTATCTGAGATTATTTAACTTGAAAATTCGATAACTTAACAACTTTGGCAAATGAGTGACTCTGCTCTTCTAGATCATTTTCGGTGTCCATACTATTATATGCCAGTTATTAAACAAAGTGTTTATTGGTGAATTTTTTTAGCCGTACCAAAATCAACACATTTATTTTAATTTCGGATAGTCAAACATTTTGTATCTCGTCTTGTGTCTTAAACTGGATTTAATGGTGTATATTATATGACACAAAGAATAAAAATGTAAGATGAACACTAATTTTGGCATTCTATGCATTAAAAACTTGTAGCAAAACTCCTTACACAATTTTTACGAAACACACAACAGTTGGAATACAATTAAGTTTATAATGTTTTTTACTGACTTAAAAGTTAAATAAAGCTATTCAAGTAAAATGCTATGTAAAAACTACCTTAAGACTTCATAGTAATGTCAATCGAACAAGAGTCATAGTTTTCGCTTTAAATACTCAAAAATCAGGATGTCGTTTAAAATAAATATTAAAACTGTTATAAATTACACTATTTATGTTATAAAAAGATTTATTATTTCTACATACAACACTTTTTTCTAAATCCATACCCTCAGTTATAAGTAATTGAAACTACTATGTGTCAAATAAAAAAAGATACATTAAGTCTCTGTAAGAATCTTTACTTGAAATTCACAGATTTATGAAAATACAGAAACTGCTTTAATTTTTGTATCAGTATGTAGTATGTTGTCAATGTAATAACGGCTAGGTTAATATTAGAAACGTAAATACAAGCCGGAAAAATGAAACAAGTACATGAAACCAATGTTCTTGTATAGTTGGATTAATGTTTTACTTTACTGGTAATAATCATGTTTGATATTACACGCAAAAAAAATTAGGAAAATCTTCTATTTTTATCGGTCAAAACTGCTTTTCTATGATTTGTAGATATTTTTTTACAAGAAAATAGGAGATACTCCAGTTTTTTAAAAGAAATATTCCGAGTGACCTTTGTAACTAAGATCCCTACTACTCAAACGTCAAGTCTGCTTACTTTAAGTTTAATAAAAGGAAGATAACGCAAGCACGTATAATATAAGATTTTTTTCAAGTTATAAAAATAGTGTTCAATGGATTTCGTTCTCAACAAGCTAAAAGTATGGGGACTAGAGGAGTTTAGTTTCATTTTTAATGGTAATAATAAATAAATTACTGTATATTTGCATACAGAGTGAGTTTAGGGATACACATATAAATGCGTCTCAGCTGTAAGTATTTAAGAGTAAAAAACCAAAAAATGTGGACACTTTTTCTACTTTACACAAATAAGACGGTTAAAATTCATAACGACGCAGCTCATCACTGAAAATCATTAAAAAATTGTGAATTTTCGAATGCTTAGTCCATATCTATGAGTCGGGCTGGTAAGACTTGGAATCTCTTTAGTAGTTTAACTGTCCCATTATTCATGAAGTCTTGATTTTCCAGCTTTTACATGAATTAAGATCTCAAGTATGAGAGCATATCTAATGAAAGCTGATGCATTCATATTATATGTTAACCAAGAAATATAATTGAAAAAAAGTTTTTTTTTTTTTAACTTTGATTTTAAAAGTTAATGGCTGTGTTGTTTAAACTTATTTAACATGAATAGTTGTTCATTGATAATTCAGAATTATAAGCGTTGGATAAATCAAAATCACTAATAGAAACATTTGCTAACTCCTACTAGGTAAATTGACTTTCTGACTTTAGCAGTAATCTTACTGATAGAAAATATGAGTTTCTCCTTTTTTTACTTAGAATACATTTATCTATGATTTATCAAAATTTTTTTTACGCGTACATATACTAGTTCTGTAAACTGATGACGACATTACCAAAAGCTGTGAAGTTTTGTATTCATATTTTAAATATTATACTCAAGAAAAATAAAAAATTGTGTACTTGATCGATTTGGTTTTTTTTCTGATTTTTCTTACAGCAATTACTGCTAAGTGAGCTAAGATTATGGTTATAATGGCTATTACAGCTATCCCAATCACTATGCTAATCACTCATGTTACTAATTACTACATTGCACGCGTTGACACAATTGTGTTCTTAGGTATTACTGTATTACTCGCGTAAGTCTATGTAATTACACGATACTATGACACATATTTACTTCTACTACTAACATGCAACAAGCGTTTAGGTCCCCCAATGTGTTTCATAACTAAAAAAATGTTTGATTACTTTAAAAAAAAAAACACATTTTTTTTCTGGTGTAAGAAATAAAAATTTAATGAATAGTCTAAAATCAATTGTTTTTTTCATCTAATGGTAATATAGCAAGTTTATAAATGTTTACTACAAAGTGTAACTATTTTCTAAGCTTATCGATTTTTACAGAAAGTTATTGCCTAAACAAGCGTTTTTTTTCTACCCACGACGGAGAGTTAATAAAAAATTTGAGTATTGCTATTTATATTGAACGTCATCCAGTGATAAATTGTTCAATGAGTAGCTTAGAAATTAATACATCTTGTGTGCGTCACGAACATCAACTGATTAATAGTTTAAAATCAAATTACGAAGTAAAAAAAGGAAAGGAAACAGGAAATTCAAAAGAATCTTTAGAAATTTATGAAGATAACTTTGATACATTTTTCAAAAGTTCTATAAAGGATCTACACGAATGGAATCACAGAGAACTCAATAGCTTCAAAAATTTTTCTGGTAAACTAAATTATATTTTTGCATGTGAAAATTATTTTTTGTTATTTATTTTGACACTTGCTGTACAACTTGTCGTTTAATCTGCTAGACATAACATCAACATCAATCATGTATAATAATGCTAGACAAACACCCTTTTTCGCTTTACTTTTATCACTTTGTAATGATCAAACTCTTTAATCGGTACCTTAAGCAGAATTATTTGTTTTTGTGCGCGAGTCTGTCTGTTTTTGCAATTATATTCGCCATGCCAAGGAAGTTCAACGTCTGATGCAATCCACAGTTGGTGTTCCCATTGTGTAGCATGGAGAGTATAAAAATAAAAATTAATGGATAAGAGAATAAGAAACGGAACTGCTTCGTTCTCGATCGCTAGCTGAAACTCATTAGTGTGGCGTGTTAAAAATTTTTCCACAGAAGAACATGACTAACACTTGCACAGATGCTCATTGTTACAACACTTGATTATTTCTGAAATGTTAAACAAGGGTTATTCTTTTTCTATTGTTCTATAAATGTACTCATTATAAAAAAATTTTTAAAAAAAACGAAAACTATAAGTTAATTCATGCATAACAACTTTTTTTTATCCTCTTGGAATATTTATAAAAAAGTCTTATCGGTTTTTCTATGAACGAATAACGGACTTTTATGACAGACAACGTAACTTGTTGATTTTCGAAAGTTAGCTACATTCACACGTAAATAAATAGGAAAATGATGTATTAATTATTTAAGAGCTGGGTTGCTGTGTTCGATATTTTTAAATAAACACTGAGTAGTTTTGTTTTTCGAATGATAGAAAAAATAAACAGTCTCAAAAGTAGCAGCTACTACTTCTGTGATTTGTACTTGTTATCACAATACTTCCTCCTATTTTTTATAGAAAACCGTGTTTTAAGATAAGTTAATGTAAAAAGATAGACAATAACAAATAGCTAAATATGATTTCATACAGCCAAATGTAATTGGTTTTTGAATTGGAGAAGGAATTATTCTAGGGATTCTACTACACCAATTGTTTCATTAGTGTCAGCAAAGAAAAGTAACAAGATCTTGTTTCCAATGATTTCTTGATTATTGCCTGCTGACTATTGACTTAATGGAATATAAACCAGTGACTAGTCAAGAGTTACTGAAATACATGCGAAAAGACGCGGTTATTAACCTTAATAAAAAGACTTACATTATTGATGCTTTTATACCTAGACTATGCCACAATTTTTCTCTGTTACCTTGGTCCTTTTTTTCTCTTTCTCGATATGAGATCGTGATTTGACTCAAACTATCTTAACACATATCTTGCAATGATCAAGCATTAGGATCAGCACTTCACGTACATTCACTCTATTCACATCTTTAATAATTACACTGTATCATTTTTTTCCTCTGTCTTTACCATTTGTATGATTGTAAAGGCCGATCCCTGCTTGAATATGCAATCTAGTTTGTTTTTTACTTAAGAATTTTTCCCGAGTAATGCAGACTAGCGAACGCTGAAACTAGTTTTGCTACTATATAATACATTTTATAACGACCCCAACTTTTTTAGCAAGTAAATACTTCCTTAAGTGACAGAAAATTTCATGTGAAGAAATACAAAAGGGATACACAATAATTGTTTCCTTTTCCTACTACGAGATGATGCTACCTCATTCCAAGAAAGTGTATCTCTAGCCAATGCAGTGATGATGACAAGGTAAGATTTCTGGCTTTACAAGACCATACCTCCTGTGCCGTGGAGTTCAGTCCATGGTCAGACTGGCGTAAATGCAAGTACCTTTAGCCATAGACAGACTAATCTTAGGGCCTGAAGAATCCGGTCAAATCGGCTCCCCTAGCGAATTGAGCATATAATTCGGAGATCGAAGTCGAAATTCGTGTCTTTACTACGTATGCCCCCATTTTTTAAATGAAGGTAAGTATAAAAATTTAATAATACAAATGTTTGAAGTAACAATTTTTATAAGCTACATTTTCTACCATTTAATCGCATAAAAAAAGGCTATGGATAAGTTGTACACTCATCAAGGTTTTCACCCATTCAACCGCTGCCACTTATAAAATTTGTTTTTCACATCTGTCGATACAAGAATATTTTGTGTCTGACACCGGTTTTTTCGGTGTGAGCAGCAAATTAAACAGTGTAAAACCAAAAATATTCGAGCCAGGCATGGTAAATTTTCATACCAAATAAAATGAAAAAAAGATTTGATAAGTAACACTAGTTGAATCGGTAGAAATCTCTCTCCGTATGTATGCCAGTAAGTCAGTGTAAATTCTGACGGCCAAGCAACTTGATAAAATATCCAATCCTAACAAATATTCAAACAATCTTTTGTCTAAGTTGTGTATATGCTAACGACCAAGAAATTAATCTACCTCAAAAACTTATAACAGAATTCCAGTAAATTTATGACTTAGCTATGTGTACCACTTGCTGTAAATGCTAACAGCTTAAGAACTGACTAAACTTGATTTTTTTTTTTTTTTTTTTTACAATTAACCCTGTTTTCACTATAGTGGCCCTACTGTAATACTTTCTATGGTATTCTCAGGGAATTGCTCAGCTAAAGCTCAAATTCGAATATAACAAACTTCTGGTTACGCCTTCTTTGACCTAAAATTACAACTATTCTATTTATATGAGATTTAGTGCATTTTAATATAAATTACAGAGCAAAGAATACTTTCGAATAAATAAGAAAGACAAGTCTTAGTCTGATATAGCATTTTTATTAAAATAATGCATGAGATTTTGCTAATCATTATTAGCCTCTTTAATATTCTTTTTAAGATTACTTTTGTAATTTTTCTGATGTCAGTTATTGTATCAAAAATTTTCAATGCACCCGCCTTTTAACGTTAATTACGTTGAAATATTCGATATTTAGCGTAAGCTTGTTTTGGACATAATTTTTAAACAAAAGGAAGCAATTCTTGACATCGTTAGTTATTATGTAAACTAAAGATAGCATCATATGTGTGTATTTCTTCAAGTGTTGATAAGTGGGATTGTCAAAGAGTTTTCGCATCTTCTTATTCTAAATTTTGTTCTACACACTGTTTAAGTAATAATTTAACACAAAGTTTTGTATGAAAAAAATGCAGCAACCCTTCAGAGTGTCAGGAATTGCTACTTAAATCCATGGACAATGCCAAGCTTCAAATTTGTCATATATTCCAAGGGGCGTGTAATTTTCAGTTCCAATTTTTGCAGCTGCTGATTGAAAAGAACTGTCAAAAATAACATATTAATACTAGTCTTGTGAATACAGTGCACATCAAAATAGTAATAATAGTTAATCGAACCTAGAAAGTGATTTTGAGTAAAAAGATGTGTCAAGAACATGTTTTGTCATGTCTTATGACGTTCTGATAAAATGATACAGCTGAAAGGGGTTGAGTGCTGGTAGCATAAACACCCACGTGGAAAAATTAGTTAATTAAAAATCACACTTGCAATAAAATCAAATTAAAAATCGTTTTGGGCTACGAGAATAAAAAAAATAAAAATAAGTCTTTACTTATTATAGGAAAGCAATGTGTATATATATTTTGAAGATATCAATATTTGTTTTTTTATCGTTGGTATTTTTCATCGAAATTTTTTACACTGATATATTGCCTTATCGATGTTGAAATTTTTAACATCAAAGTCCGGTAATCAGTATACGCTCATCTATTAAACTTAACTGCCAGTTGTGATACGTTTTATGGAGAGACGGTGAAAACTAATTAAATTTGTCTTTTTAAGCTGTTTTGATTTTCTCATCGAGCCAATTAGTATTGTATTTGCGTGTAATGTCTTCTGACCCTGGTCAATTTTTCAGAGTCTTAGCGTCAAATAGTTAACAATACTTGCAACGTAGGTTTTATCAGGAATAGTGTTTTTCATTGCCGAAGAGACTTTCTAAAATACAAAAAATAGGTTAACTTCGCAACATTTTTAATAACTAATATTTTTGCACTCAATGTCCACAAGTTTCTAAATTTTCACAAAATTTTTTAACAATTTACGTTTAGCCTTGGTATTTCCAAAGTAGTAATCAATTTAGATATTTGAATAATTATATTTTAACTTCGAATAGTCTAATAACTTGTTTAATAAACTGTGATTAAAGTTTATATTATGTTCATTTTTTACATCTATGAATGAAAAAATAATTGCTGCTATATAATTATTCTGTATTATAGCAAATTTTTAGTCGGCAGGCAAGCATTAGACGACTCAAGCCAGTGAGAACTCTCCTGTTCTTTAAACTGTAGTATTATAGAATCTATAATACTAGAGTTTAAAATCTATAATTAAAAGAGTCTATATATAAGATAAAAGAATCTATAATACTAGAGTTTAAAAAATAGGAGAGTTCTCACTGGCTTGAGTGATCTAATGCTTGCCTGCTGACTGAACATTTTTAGTTCGAGGCTCTACTTAGTCATTGTTTCGAGGGTAACTCTGATATATTCCATACAATCCTATCTCCTCCTCAGTGGTATAATACTGGCGTAACAGTATCGTCAAAGTAGTTATAATAAAACAGTACCTTGAGTTATTTGTTCACGATTATACAGACTCAAAATACTAAACAATCTAGATTCAGCGTGGTAAAACGGAATAACTCTTCAAGTGACCCAAGAGCAACCTAATGCTAACACAACAAGTTGTAAGAGCTGAGCTTATATATAACTGAAACGTCTGAATAATTAAAATCATTCCCTCTTACGGGTTATTTATGGTCAAACAGTGGTCAATTTCATTGATATTTCTTATCGATATTTGCAATATCTATGTATTAAAAGCTGATGTATTCATGCGAAATATCGATATTTTTTCCTAGTACCGGGCATCTTTCCTGCTAATGTTATGACTGGACTTGTTTAGAGTATGGTCTTAACTGTTTTATTTAAGTGTCATTCGTGGGTCTCTTAGGATTCAGCTCGTAAGCTTCATTCGTTGTTTTAAATTAAATAATAATCTTTATTTAAATAATATGGGT